CATAATGAAAGCCCTTATAGAGTTAATAAGACCTTTTTTAATGATAATTACTTTTGTTATATCAACGTAGCTTGTACAGTCCCATAAAATCTTCTGAATGATGATGTCTCCAGAGCTTTCCTTCCAGTGAATTACTGTGTAAGAGTATTATATGACAGGCAAAAACGTAACTGATTTACCACTGCTGGAAAAGCATAAGTTCTTATTAATACTTCCTTCTTTAGTCAAAGACTTCCTATCAAACACTTCTTTATGTTACTGTATCACCTGTGCTATTTGGGGATCAGGATTAGATTTTCTAGGAGGGAAGATTGCCACTACGATTCCTAGGTCCAGTTCAGAGCTTACTTCTTTGCTGTTTGTATATAGACACTCTTGTCACTAGCAGCTGTGCAGGTAAATTGTCAAGAAACATTATATTTGTTTCTTGATCTTTATTACTATGTGTTACTTTCACCTGTTTTGAAGATCTATGCAATGCAACTGTCAATGAAATTGCTGCACTTAACTTCTTATGTTGAAATATTTTCCAAATGTGTATGTGTGTGCAACGGTCTTTGCAATGTCATTTCCACATACCTTTTATCTAAGTCATCCATCAAAGTTGATTATATGATACATTTTTTGCATTGGGGTGTGAAGGAGCAGCCTAATACAGCGCTTTTTTACTTTACATGCTATCATGTATTTAAGGTTCTCTTTAATATTTTTCTTGAATAAATATCACTATTTTCTCATTGCAAGTACTCTTATACTAAAATTCATTCATAACTTGACTCGTGGCAAGATCGAGTGCAATGGTAGTTTGACTGCACATCTGGACAAGTTGGCTTGTATAGTAAGGTTACTGTGAACTAACATTTAACCTAAATATTTATATTTTAGAATTACCATTCCATTAAAAATACAATTTATTTCTTACAATGCAATCTGTTCTCTGTCTCTGGGTTAAGAGTGTATTGTTTCACTTGTTACGTGACATCATCTAATGCTGTCTCAAGAGCTGCAGCAGGCAAATCTTTTAACTCTTCATTATTCATTAGTTTCCATTCTGGTCCTTCTTGCTCCTGGGACCATCAAGTCACCACATGCAAGCACTCAAGTATTATTACTGTTGGCACAGGCTTGTCAAAGCATTAGAGCTCCTGGCAAGGCACACAAAGGAGTGGTGTGTGGTGTCACAAGTACACATTGTTGCAAATTATCATCTTCCTGACTTTCGTCCTTGTTATTTTCCTGTGACAAGATTCTGTATGTGCAATCCTGTACCATTTTAAGAGTATTTTCTGTGGAGCTTTCTGATATTCTGCCCCTTTTTTGGAAATCATTGTTTGCATTTTCTGCTTTTTGCAGGAAATATTGCTTCCTATCTAAACATACATGACATGCAATCTTTAGTTATGATGATAAATGATATCACCAATCAATTGAATCAGCAGTTATATCCTGTTTAGCAATGCTGATTTATCAGCATAATTTAGCTTTCTAGAAAAGGTACATAGATACAGGTGATATCTGCCATGTATAAAAACTACCTCTCCATCAGGACTAGTTTTGCAGCAATGAGGCAGATTTACATTTCTAGTGATCATTAATAAAATACTAGTACAACTCTAGTGCAGAAACCTAGGAAAATTAAGCTGGTCTCTCTGGTGCTCAATAAGCTAATTTCCCCCATTTGCAAACATGAATCCGTTGTCTTAGCAGATGACATTTTATTCAAGGGAGATTACACTGTTACCTAAGGCACTTTTTTTTCCTTTTCTTTTTCTTCTCCAATGTATAATGTTTCATGAATACAGCATGTAGCTTTGTTTCACAGCCTTCTTCTTTGGAGAAGGAAGTGGTAGGAGTGACTCTTCGTTCTCAATTTGAGATTGACAAATCCAGGTGCTCTGGCACCTTCTGCTAGATGTCAGGGTCCTCCTTCCATCTGCTGGTGAGCTTGTGGTGGGAGATGCTCCTGATCCTCTTGCTCCTCTGCTCCACCAGCTACTCTTAGCTTTATGAGGGGAGTGTGGTTTCCTGCCCTACTGGTTTTATGAACCTACCATAACTTTGCTAAGTGTTTCTATTATTGATTTACTTTAGCTGCTACTGACCTCTTAAAAAAATGTGACTCCTAAACAGACCTGTTGCCTTAGATGAGGGTGCCTGTTTACTTAGGGAGAGGTTTACTCTTTTATTTTTCCCAGGCTTCTGTACAGTATTACAGTGGCAAAAAAGTAAACAGAAATATTTACTAGAGATGATAAAATAGCCAAACACCAGAAAACCACTTGCTATTTCTAGTGGCTTCCTTACCTTCCACAGTTCTTGGGACTGCAGTGTGGCTTCTTTCAGCCTTCCCACTTCCAGCCTCTGTATTCCATTATGGAATATATACACTCTGTATAAAGTGCATATGTTCCTTTTCTAATTTTGTTTCAGCTTTCTGATAGCCATCCTTTCTTACTTAACTCATAGTTTTTCCAATTGATTTAATTAGTGTTGCATCCCATTTTCTTCCCATTCCCACTTCTATATTGACTTTCTTTAAGGGAATGCACTGTTACTTCCTTAAATAGGAGCATGCTTGCTTTAACTTGAAACTTTCAACTAAATTAAAGCTTTCCCCATTTTAAAAAGGTTCATCTTTCTTGAGAAAATTTAATTTATCAAAACATATGCCTTACCCCAAAACCTCCTTAATATAATCCTTCCGTGTATTTTTCAGTTTTTCAGCCACGTCCACAAAAGGTTATCCAATACCTTGGTCTATTTGGTTCTCATTTTGTACTGTACTTAATACTCTTACTTTAGTGGTAAATGTTATTTTATTTTCCATTTCAAAGTTTTAAACCCTTTCATCTCTGAAATCCACGCCTGAGTCATAGCTTATGTATGTTTGCCTACATACACTCATTCTAAGTTCAGGTCCAGTTACTCACAAATTGTATCAAATTGAAGTTAATATTCTAAACAAAGGTTTCTCTGAGATAATCTAGGAAGCAGCTTCAGTTTTTCTGGCAGTATTCAGACTAATATATATGTTATATATATGAGTGAGGGTTTTTTTCCTCTAGATCTGCATACCTGTGCACAGATCCTGTTTACATATACAAACACCACACATGCAATTAGGATCTATCACTTGGTAGCTGTCTACTGTGTCCTCTGCTTTATAGCAGCTTGCAAAGAACATTTCCAGAATTCATCCTTTCTTGAAGTTTGGCTTTTGGCCATCACCTTTTAACAGTTATGTAAAATAATTTTCTTTGAAAGAATGACATCATACACCCCACAGGTATTTACTGCTGAGTTATAATCCTGCACATAGCTGTTTATCTCTCACTGCTCCTGAATGTGGAGAGGCAGTTATAAACACCTGTAAAAAAATTTTTAGCTGTGTGTGAATATGTATGCATTGAAAATGCAATAATGTGAAAAATAGTACTTTTGTGGTTTACAAAGAATTATATGAGCATGATTGCCATTCATCCAGATTTTTGACTAAATAACTGAAAGTTATGAAAAGAAATTCCTGTAATAAAAAAGCAGAATCAGATCCCTGTGGCTTTCTGTCCTGTAGAATGAGGTGAAGAAACTATGAAAAGTTTGCCTTTCAATATGCAAGTTTCAAATCAGCTATGAATAAACTACTTTGGCTCTAAAATACAGAGGATTTATGTTCTGCTGACAAGGGCTGTACCATCTCAATGCATATGTGGTTGGACTGTGTTTTGATCTTACTTGCTTAATCCCATAAATTAAAGGAGTTTTAATTAATATTTTCCTGATATTTCTATATAGCTGAGCTATAACACATAATTTTGCAGTGTCCACATTCTGACAGTTCATTTATTGACATGTTCTTTTCATTGTCACCTTCTAGAACATAATCAGTTTTTTCATTTTTCCTCCTTGTACCTCTCAAATCAGAATATTGAGTGCTGGTGATTGATGGCTTAAGTTCATTCCATGTCCCAAATACTTTCAGAGATGATTTAATGAAATGTTAAAATATTTTCCATGACTTGACTGTTTCAGGATATTTCTCTGTCTCTTATGAGTGTCTTAGTAGGTGTCAAAGTGATGCAGAATGAAACCAACCTGATATATGTGATGTTTGAAAGAAAGGCCTCTGAACATATTGTACAATCCAAGAATTGTCTGAGCATGAAACTTTCCTATTTTATATTTCAGTAAAAAAAGAAAATTAAGAGGAATGTTCTTTTGCAATTTGGATGTCATTAGTTTTACACTTACACACACAAGTTTGTTTTACACACTCAACTTACATGGCTCTTATGAGTCTTCTTCATCTTTCTGTAATCAGTAAACAGAGGAGAGATTTTGCTTCATTGTTTCCAAGGAAATTTGAGCAATTAGGATACTTATTTAGGCACTTTAAGTCACTAAAAAATCACAAAGGATGGATATGAATTGACTTGCTTTTATCACCAATCCTCATCCTAAAGCCAGCTCACAGCTATAGAGATGATTCTTATTACTATGGATTTTTGTACTTCCGATCAGAAAAATTTCCTGTTCAATCTGTGAACCTGTTAGGTGAACCTTACTGATGCTTCTTGCCACTACTGTTACTTCAGTGTTTCCCTTTACTTGTTTTTCTTAAGGATCAATCAAATTATGTTTGATCCAAAACCATAATAACTTGAAAATCAAATCCTTTGCATTCACCATGCTGCAAGCAGCTAGGGTGCTGAGAGGTGTTCCTCTTCCTGTTGGATTTTTAATGTCAAATTTTCTCTTTTTCAGTCAGAGATACAGATCCTTGTTTCCATTTTCATTGTACAATGAATGCATGATGTTCAGCATTACCAAGCTAGACAGAAAAGCTGACTAAGTCCACCTGACATATCTTCATTCTTCTTCCCTTATGGGAATGGTTTTGGAGAATCAAGATGACAATATCACAGCACATCATATTGTACTTTTTACATTAAATCTAATAGAAGATCAGTTGCTATATTAAAAATGTTTTACCTTAGAATTACATGTCAGCAGAAGGTCTTAAAAAGTATTCTCTAGCTGCTGACTGGTAAAGAGAAAGAATAATTTTTTTTTAATGGTATAACGTAAATTGTCCAGTTATTCACACACTAAGTTGTTTGGATTTCAGGAGTTTTAATAAAAAAAGCAAACTATAATCAGGAGGTTATAACAATGCAATATATTCTTTGTGAGTCTAAAATCAGAGAATGAGTCCTGTCTCTACTAGGCTAAATCTAGATTTTTTTATAAACATGAAGAAAAGATTTGAACTGTTATTTCAAATTAAACTTGTCTATTCTGAATTTCAAAAAAGGCTATCTAACTCAAATATACTGAATGCTCGAGTGTAGAAACTGTAAACTTAATATTGTGGTTGGATGTACTTATATAGGCTTGAATTCACCTACTCTATGGAGTTTGAAAGACTTTAAATAACTGTATCAGGAAGCTTATTTTTCACCAGTCAAACCAATTTGCATTTAAACAATACTTTAAGAAATACTTCAACTACTATGCCTGTCTGCAAAAAAAAAAAAAAAAAAACAAAAACAAAAAAACCCAACCCCAAAACAAAACAGCTTGAGAAACACATTCCTAGCAACCAAAAAAATACTGAAGGGAATGACCAGAAGTATCTTTGGCGTAGGTGCATTTTCAAAACCTGAATGTGCAGGCATGCTCTTCATAATACTGCCTGAAAATCATTCACAAAAGTATGCAGCCTTTAACTTGGGCAGAAGAATTCAGCAAAGTTTTCTGTTTGGTTTTGTGTCTCTGTTTTAAAAGGTTTCCTCTTTTCTTTCATTATAAGCATTCTCAAACCATGAACAAATTCCAGTGTTTTCAGCTGTATATTAGCTGAAAGTGAGTCTCCTTTGATAACACAGATCACAGGGGACTGCTTCAGTGCAGGAAGCTGGGACCCAAGTAAACTTCAGAGTTGCAGCCTTGGCTAACATAATTATTTTCTCTTTTTCTGTTACCTGGAGCTATTTTATTACCTGAAGATAGGAAGAAGTGCTACTAGAGGTTCACCCAGTAATTTAAAGATATATAAGACTTTGAGAATATAATATCCTCTTGGAGCTATTCTCAGCTTTTATGAAGAGAAGTTGATGGGGAATTCATTGTAGATATTTCCTCCCTTAGGCTTTCTTGCTCTGTGCAATGTGTAAGATGTATGATCTCAAACGGAGGATTTTACACCACTGACTTTTAAGATTCCCTAGTTTAATTTTGTAGAAGGTGTTTTATAGAGCTAAAGGATTTCAAAAATCTCTTTAAAAGTAAATGGTGCTAGTAGGACTTCCAAGCTGTATGATGGTGAATCTTCTCTGCATGACCGCAATGCATGGATTGTGTCTTGTTGCATGGAGAAAAGCAAAGTTTTGCTTCTGGCTGCTAGATGACTTATGGTGACTTTCATTTTTTGTTGTTTGATTTTTTTACAGCTTTCATTTGCAGCAACAACTCCAGAGTTGGCTGATAAGAAAAAATATCCTTATTTCTTCCGGACAGTGCCATCTGATAATGCAGTGAATCCAGCAATTTTGAAGTTACTCAAATATTTCCAGTGGAAGAGAGTAGGAACTTTAACCCAGGATGTACAAAGGTTCTCTGAGGTAAGATTTGCATAATTTCTAGTACACACTGAAAGGTCCTAATATCAGACTTCTAAGGAGCTAGTTCCTCTATTAATAGCAATTAAGTAAAAAGAAACAGACCCACTGTTTCAGTCTTGTTTGGCTTTCTCTTACTAGGTCATATTTTCAGTATTGAATAAGCTTAATTCCCTTCTGAGGTTTATTTGACTATCTGTAATAAAAAGTACCCATGCTTTTGCATGTCTGTTTTTCAAACTGAAAATCATTGCATCTAAATGCAAAAACATTACTTTCTTTCATAGCAGGAGTTCCTTTATACTCTTTGACTTGCAAAAGCATATGATTTTAAAGGAGACTTATATCTTGACACTGGCTCACTTAAAAGAGAGAATAAATCCAATTTGATCATGTTCCTTTTGTGCTCTGATTTCTTATAAGCATCAATCTGAATATCGAGGAATAAAATCTGAGTCGTCTATGGCTGAAAATATTGGAGGAGCTTACTGAGAAGAAATGACTGAAGCCCCCAGAACTAACATACAATGCACCCCCCAAATCATCAGAGTTTCACCCTGAGCAACATTTTGGTCATAGAAATTGCAATAAAGTATGGACCAAGTGCCTTAAGCATGATTTTAACAGAATAAAAGGAAACATCCTAAAAGCATTTATTCAGAGCAAGACAATGGAAAAAGCTGGCCAGACAGAGCGGCAAAACTAATAGTCATGCCAGTTTCTGGTTGTTTGGTTGTTGGGTTTTTTTTACCTTCCTCAGCATTCATTTTTAAAAAGGCTGACTGTGTTCTGAGGATTAGCATAATTAAAACTAGTGAAGAGGGGTAAGAACACATTAGAGTCTGCTTATACGAGTCAGATATTTTCAAATTGTCTGGCAAAATTAATTCACTATGGAATACTTAAGAAATATTATACTCCTCCCCTATGAGCTTTGAGAATTAAAAGATAAAAAGTAAATGAATTTTAGGGGGAGGGAAGAAACCTTTGTGTCTGTCTTTCAAAAAAAACCCCAACAACAAAGACCCAGGGAATTATAGGCCAATTAGGCTCAATTTAATTCCTGGAAAGACGCTTGATCAGATAATCTGTTTGGAATAACACAGAAGATAAAAAGATGCTTACTGGCATCAAAAATGGATTTGTCAAAATTAAGTCATGTAAAGCAATCTAATTTTCCTCTATGTCAAGATAACAGGTCTCAGGGAGGTGGGATAGGTGATAAGTGTGAGTTTTTGTGACTTATAAAAATGTTAAAAGTTCTCCTAAAGGAAAACAGGGAAACTTGATTTTGGGGAAGATAGTGAAAGAGCAGTCTAGTCTCTAACCAATCTTCCTGCCACCAAAGTTAATTGACATCAGAGTGGTTGAATATTTGTTTTAAAAACAAATGTTAAAGCAATAAGTCACCAAGCAGTATCGTATGCTTTATCCTTCTCTGTCTTGAAATTAAAATTTCAATGAGTAGTTATCAGTGGTTTACTGTCAAACAAGAAGGATGAGATTCTGTCAAGTGGGTTTCTCTAGAAAGAGATAAGGTTTTCTCTAGATTAGTGGGATAGAGAAAATGTTTATTAAATTGCAGTGGGTACCTACTTGGGAAAAGTTGCAAGTACTTGCAGAGGACAGGATTAGGTTTCAGAATTATATTGACAAGTAGATAAATATTTCACAATATTTCAGTGAAAAAGTGCAAAATGGCTATCTATGCTGCAGATCTCCAGAGAAAGTATGAGAAGTACCACAATGCACCACAAACTGAGTAAGGGTCAAGAAGCTCAGACTGCTTGACCTATTGTAACAAGTGGAAAGGAAGCAAATAGCTCTCATTTCACCACCCTGATGTAATGCAGTATTGACACTTCAGACAGAGTAAACTTCAGTGCTACATAGAGCTCATTAGATATAAGTTGGAACATCAGGCCTAATCATAGAATCATAGAATCAACCAGGTTAGAAGAGACCTCAAAGATCATCGTGTCCAACCCTACCATCATTACTAGACCATGGCACTAAGTGCCACATCCAGTCTCATCTTGAAAACCTCCAGGGATGGTGAATCCACCACCTCCAATGCCTGATTACTCGCTCTGTAAAAAATCTCTTCCTAACATCCAACCTAAACCTCCTCTGGCAGAGCTTGAGTCTGTGCCCTCTTGTCCTACTGCTAGTTGCCTGGGAGAAGAGATCAACCCTCACCTGACTACAACCTCCTTTCAGGTAGTTGTAGTGGGCGATAAGGTCTCCCCTGAGTCTCCTCCAGGCTTCAAGAAGGAAGTAGATCAGAGATGTCTGTAAATAAATTCAGTCATCTGGAAGCATGTTTAATGAGAAAGATTAGAAGTAGAAAAAAGGTGGAATAAACAGGGTAGGCTGTTGAACCTTCATTGTGTAGGGGTTATTAAGGCTAAACAAACATAGGGATTCTTGGTCTTCCTTTGGAACAGAGGAATGGACTTCATGTTTGCCAGGGTCACTTAAGTGTTAAAACTGCAACTTTCTAGGGTCTGTGAGAGTGCTGCACTGGAGTTCAAAGTCTTTTCATTCCTCTTGAAAGGTAAGCAACAACCTTCTGTGTCAGACTGCAAACTCAATTTAGTGTGATTCATTAAAGCTTTCAGGTAATGTGAGATCCTGTTAAAGCTTCCTTGAATTACGGTGATTTTTATAGCATGTTGAGTCCTGAGTCTTTGAAATGATTAGGGCTTGATCCTTCCTTTTTCAGCTCCATGCAGAGCCATGCAGAGTTTTTCCTTCCTCGCGCAAATGATGAAAGCACAGGAAAAACTGCAGGAAATAATTAATTGGCTGTCCAGGAGCAGTGAGGGATGGGAGCCACCAGCAGCAGAGTGGGAGACCATGTGATGGCTGGGCAGAACCCAGTCCTACTGCAAGGGAGGAGGGCAGACCCAGGGATTGAGATCAGGATCAGCCAAGGGTGGAAACCATCAGGCAAGCAAGTCCATAGCAATGAGGCAGGTTCAAGGCCAAACTCAGAAATCAGTCTGCAGGTGAGGATCAGGTCTAGTGACTGCTGGACAGGTCTATGGCAGAGACTGAAGGAACAGGACTAGGGGCATGGGTGGAGGTCCCAGAGGAAGGACCATCAAGGCTTGTTAGTGACCTCCAGGTGCTGGTATAAGTCTATACACCCACTGAAACCATAATTTTCCCTCTAAAGGAACATCAGGCAAAACTATCCTAAAATTTTTTTTGAAAGTGACAACATAGTTGAACAAAACTATCCTAACATTTTTTTTTGAAAGTGACAACATAGTTGAATGGCATCTAAAGCTTCTCTCTTTCTTGAAAAATGCCACTGAGTTTGGAATGTGATTGGTCTTATCTATACTGAAAATGTATTATGAGACACTAGATCAGAAGTAACTGAATGTTGTCTCTGCTACTCTCATGCAGAATAAAATAAGCAGAAGTAAATTATGGGATCTTTAAAGAAGCCTGTGTAGTAACTCAGGTGGTTTTACTCTTAGAAACAAGACAGAGCAATTCTCTTTCATTTTTCCATCTCCCAGAAAGACTGTATCAGTTTGACAGATCTCTGTCTTTTTAAAAAAAAAAAAAAGATCTAGACCAATTTGCATATCTGTCTAGTCTTTCCATCTAAACGTATTGGGGGTAGATGCTCCCTTCTTTTTCTTGTTGTATAGGGACCTCATATGCGTGTAGTTTAGTCAACAGGAACTCTGCATCTCCTCAACTGTCATCTAACTTCAGGGTTTTTTGAGCTGATCACTTTTTTTCCTTAGCTAGATCACTGTCTGCAGTCTCTCTGCAATTTGTACTTAGATCTCATTTCCTGAATAATTAAAGCTCACCTAACTTGCCTGCAAGTTAGCTGTCCCTGAAAGTCATAAAGCTGTCTTTTTGGTTTACCTTGCCTTGTAATGAGGCAGTTGTCTCAATTGCTTAGAATAACAGTCTTAGTCCAATTTATCTCTGAAGGCAAAAATCACAGAGGATCTCTTGCTTCTATTTCAGTCATTTCCTTTGGGAACCCTTTCTGCCGAGACTTTGCATTATCACCTATTTCCTCGTACTTGGTGGAAAAAACTTCTCTTATTAAAAAAAAAAGTTTTATCTTCCTTATTCTGCAGGTCACACGGAGAGACAAAACATAGGTAGAGGGAATGGTTATATCTTCCTTATTCTGCAGGTCACACAGAGAGACAAAACATAGGTAGAGGGAATGGAGCTGTTTATGCCAAGGTACTTTTAGTTCTTAAAGCACATGGCTTGACACTGCTTTTCTTGGCATTACTTGGGTCCCAAGGAACATGACTTTTTAAATGACCTGAATTCTATGGCTGCCAATAGCTCAGCTCACTGTTAGTATCCTCGGTGAGTTATTCAAGTCTGTTTGTACAACCAGAAATATCCCTTCCATTGGATTAATGTTTAAATTGTGTAGGTCAACTTGGTATAAGGATAATATAGTCACTTCATCAGTTCTGTTATTTAACTAGGACAAGTTCATACCTATTGTGCTTTTGTGTCCTAGATTTTGTGGATTGCTGCCCTGTTCTCATCCTCTGGGAGAAGATGCTGTTTCAAAAGTTAACTTTGTGGCAAAGATTTATAAATGAGGTTACAAAATATTTTCATGATTTTAAACTTGAAGTGTTTGCTGTGGTATATAACCATAGGGTAATTTAGGTTGGAAGAAACCTTGGGAGGTCTCTAATCCAACCTGCTGCTCACAGCAAGGCTAGCTTTAATGCTTATCAACCCTGAAGAGTTATAGCTGTTGCAGACACAGTTCTTGGTAAAGTCCTGACCATGTCCTGTTTCTGATTCCCAGGTGAGCTTTCAGCTCAGGAGACTATGCAATGATTGGTGCCTCCAATTTTGCTGCTGTCTGGCACTACCTGTTTGGGATTTTATATTGATTTAGGCAAGCCAAGCAATATTCCTGTGGTCTGTTGCTTGTTATGTTTCACATTTCAGTGGGAAGAGTCGTGGGAATGAAGTTATATGTAACTATC